TTGGGGGCGAACTTTTTTTCCCCCGCAGAGTTTTAATTTTTATTTTTTTTGTTCGTGGGTGGGCGCGCCCCGTCCTGTCCCGCAGGAGAGGCGGCGAGGGGCAGATGAACGCTTTGAGCCGAAGCTTCAAGCTCGCCCGCGCCGTTTGGCTTGCTGAGATTCGGATTTGTCCCAAAGCTAAAACCCCAAAAAGTTGGGTAAAAGCGGCCCCTCCCGTTCGCCAGTGAAGACCTGCGCTAGCGTGGAGGTTAGCTGGCGCATCTCTCATGGCGCCGGAATCGCGTGGGCAGGTTGCCTACGCCTACGCTGCTCGGAGGGAAACCTGACCGAATTGCCCTGCGCTTTGCATGCAGCTGATTAAAAGCTGCCAGCTTGATGGGCTTACATGCAGGACTTAAAAACTTCTTTCAATCTAAAACTAATTTTTTTTTAAATTTCTCTAGACCTGAAACTTGGTAAAAAAGTTAATGAAGGTAAAACGAAAGAAGTGTACGAGCTGCCAGACATTCCGGGATGTGTTCTCATGCAGTCAAAAGACCAAATAACAGCGGGAAATGCAGCCAGGAAGGACCGAATGGAAGGGAAGGCTGCCATTTCCAATACAACAACTAGCTGTGTGTTTCAGTTGCTTCAAGAAGCTGGTAAGTATTTCAGAGGTAGAATATGAGCCTGTGTATTATTTTTACAACACAGCATTCATAGAATGGTTTGGGTTGCAAGGGACCTTAAAGATCATCTAGTTCCAGTGTTTCTGTAGATTGGTTGATCTTGCCTTGAGGCTGACGGGTTTTCTGAGTGTCTTTCTATCTGTTTTTAGTTACCCTTTTTCCTCTGGGTGTACTACAGAGCTGGGTGGGCAACTTCTTCATTTGGAAGATGAGATTTATCTGAAACAATCTTCTAATCGCAGATAATGCTGCAGTAGTTTCTCCTGCTTGTTTGGACACACCCCTAATCGTCCCCTCTACTTGTCAGTTCTTCCCTACCCCCATGCCCCCTTGCCTGTAATACTGACTGGATGCGTCTTGCCTTTCTTAACTACGTCTGCCTGCATAGATGCAAGTCACTGCTAGCTAGTGGCACTACCAGACTACGTCTAAGCTGTGTGAAACTTGTGTGTGAATTATTTGTGTGTTAAAAGATTAATTAGAGTATCTTTTTATATTTTTCTCCTCTCAGTTGTGTGTGCTGTATGAGTGTAAAGTTTCTGTACGTAAACATTTATGAGGACTATATCTCGAATGCATATATTGGTCTGTATTGGATGTGTCAGGAATTTAACTTTTACTTTAAAAGATTCAAAATATTTCTGATGCTAGAAGCAAGCTTTCATGGTGTCTATAACTAACTTGAGTGACTCAAGCAAGTTTTGCACCATGCTTCCAAAATGGAGCCAGTATCAGTGCTTTGAGGAAAGCACATTTTTGAAGTGTCTTTCGACTGAGAAGTTTGCAAGTTGCAAAGAGGAGTTGTGCTGCTGGATTTCTAACTTGAGCCTGCAAACAGTACTGTAATACAGGCACCAGTAAACTTGGTTCAGACCGCTTGTAGCTGCATGCTTAGTGCACTTTGAAGCATTCGCACAAAGATTGCCTCAAGTACCAACTGAGTTACTCTTAAAAGTTTTATAACAGATAATAAGGTGTAATAATAGATCTCAGGCAGTCAAACAGAAAAGTCCTAGCATGTTTATGTGTGGGGAAGAGAAAGATGGTTTCTGTAGAGTTGTATCTACCTACATCTCTCTGCAAGTAGTTCTTAAAATACGGGCTGAGACAAAGATAGATCAAGTCAGTCACTGGCTTTCTTGGGAAGCCTACTGTGCATACAGTACAAAGAGGCCTCCAACATCTTTCTGATTATATTTGCAGTTGATTAAAACTACTGGTTTTCATTTAGGAACAATTAATGAGATGTTTTTGCCTAATTCTTAAATGGCAAGTTAAGATAACAATCAAAATACTTATCCTACAGATACAAACTTCAGATGTGAAGAAGCCATGCTGTAGACCTCTCAGTGATCCTTAAATGGCTTGTACTCAGTAACTTCAGGTGCTGGAGAAAAATATGCAGAGTAAACTGCAGCTGTATTTTAATGCAACAAAAGAACTTCAGGGTTCTTCTCCACTTTGCTTATTTGGCTTGAATTGCAGATAGTGTAAATGCCTTATCATGGAAGTAGTTTGTTTGTTTTGCGCAACTCTTCTTAACCTACTCTTTCAAAGGTGATGATTTACAAAGTTCTGTTAAAGTGTCTCTCCCTTTTATAGTAGAGCTAATGTCAACTTTTCAAAAGTACATGTCTGCACTGATGAAAAATGTAAACCATGTGGGGACCTTAATGCCTGGATTTAGAAATAACTTAATGTGCAGTTGGTTAGTTAAATCATTCTGCCCTTGAGGGCAATGCAACAAAATCTGAAGAGTCAATGTTAATACTATATTTTAAGGCTTTAATTCTTCCTTTATGGCTCTGGAATTGGAATGGAATAGAGCTACTTCTTGGTTTGACTGGATGCAGCTCCTTTGTCTTCTGTTTCTGGCAGATGTCTGCTGGGTTTGGCAGTTGTCTGGCACAGGAGGGGGGAAAAAGGTGGGACTTTCCTCAAGAGTGAAATTGAAAAAAGAGCCATTTTGCACTTACAGTTCCTATCTACAGGTGTTGGCTGCCCCTGTTTAATAGGGGGTCATCTTACAATTATGTAGGAAGGTTGACTTGGTGCAGCAGGTTTGTGTGTATGTGCTTCTGAGTCTTAATGTCGTGTGCATAACAAATCACTAAGATCTAGTGCACTAAAATGGCAGTTTGTAATGCAAGGGAGGACTAAACCATTCTCTTTCCTGCCCCATCCTTCTTTATTAAACAAAATAGTAAAGACTACCATGCTCCCTAACTCCTTTGAAAACCTCCAATTACTGTTCCGTGTATAATGGATCTTCCACCAGAGAGCATGGTTGGGTACTTGGTTGCTGCTAACTTCTGTTTAAAAAGAAACAATTGTGAGGGATAGATTTTTTTTTACAGCTCTGTACAAAATTACTTGCAAGAATAGGATTTCTGACCAGAGTGTCAAGTTTCTGATCTACAAGTGAGTGTTGTATGTTAAAATTGGCAAAACTAATGACTTGTAGAAGATAACTGCATTGATTGCCTTCTGCAAGGCCAGAGTGGGCCTAAAATAATCTGAAGAGATTAAGTGTGTCCTGTAAATCCAGAGAAGAACAAAATTCAGTTGTACTTAAAATTAAAGGTGTTTGAGTCTTGTTTCAACTGTGGAGTGTGCCTAGTAATGGAACTAAGTTGCCATCTTTATATTTAGGAATCAAAACAGCTTTTGTCAGGAAACAGAGTGACACAGCTTTCATAGCAGCTCACTGTGAAATGATTCCAATTGAATGGGTGTGCAGAAGAATTGCTACTGGCTCCTTCCTCAAAAGAAACCCTGGTGTCAAAGAAGGATACAAGTTTTACCCACCCAAAATTGAGATGTTTTACAAGGTAAGTTTTCTTTCCTGTAAGAGCTAGATAGAGCTCTGTATCTCCTTTAAAATGCTGATAAATAAAGCAAGTAGTGCTATTGGCTGACCAATCCTCTTAGTATTGGCAGTTTTTTGCCATCCTAATGTTTTCATGCATTCTTGTCCAACAGCTGTTTTATCTAAAGTACATATAATGTAATACTGGCTTATAGGGCCATCAAAGAATAAGAAGCCAAACTATGTAAAGTAAAAAAAACATTTTATTTATAAGGACTTTTTAGGCATAAGCCTAATGCATCAGTTGAAATGGATGTGTTGATATAGTTGAAGAAATTAAAAAACAGTACTCACATGGTGAGGGCAAGTAGCTAGCTAGTCACTTAGTACTCTGAACTTCTTTGGGAAAGTCTTCTGAAAGAAGTGTCTTGAACTATGACCTAAAGTGTTGTTTGTAGTGTACCCTGTCACTCTTGGGGTATTGTCCAAACTTGAAGTGCTTTTAAAGATGCTCAGATGTTACAGCAAGTGTTTTCAATGTTGCTGCAACTTTTTCCGTGCTAATCATAAAATACTAGTTTGAAGCCTGTATTTGTTTTTGAAAAGCAAACAAAGAGAAGCTAGTATTATCTTCTAATGGTTATTTTCCACTTAGAGCAACCTTAAATTACATGATGTGTATGTTTTGGTTTTCTTAACAGGATGATGCTAATAATGATCCACAATGGTCTGAGGAGCAGATAATTGAAGCAAAATTCTGTTTTGCTGGACTTACTATTGGGCAGACTGAAGTGGATATTATGTCTCGTTCTACTCAAGCTATTTTTGAGATCCTGGAAAAATCATGGCAGCCCCAAAACTGCACTCTAGTAGACCTGAAGGTATAAGAATCTGATTTCTCATGACCGTGGTTCTGACAGGAAATATATTGCTGTATAGTTCCTAAAATAGGATTCTTACTGTCTTTTTAGATTGAATTTGGTGTTAATATTCTGACAAAAGAAATTGTTCTTGCTGATGTTATTGATAATGATTCATGGAGACTGTGGCCATCAGGAGACAGAAGCCAGCAGAAGGACAAACAGGTAGTGTTTTTAATCTTTACCTTCTAAGTCAGTTAGGAAGGAGAATGGAAAAAAGTAAACCCTACAGTTAAATGTGCTTTCAGAGTGGCTTTTTGTAGATAGTCTTACCTTGTTACAGAGTAGCTCATAGGGTACCTAATGTCTGATCCTGTTCTCATTAATGAGTTGATTATCTGGTTCATGGTAGAAGAAAACGGCTCTGCCTGTAGATCTTCAATAGGAATGCCCAACAACACTATTGACTGGAGCTATTGTAATGAAGCATGGAGCTTCCAGGAGTAGTAAGAATTTCTGACTTGTGCAGGTAAAAATAGTTTAGCACAAATCAGTAGGAAGAATAGAAGCTTTGGTTCCCAAGTCTGCCTCCAAGCTTCTCTGTTTCTTCAGAGTGGTATCCTCTTCTAGTAGAGATCTGGTGATACATAAGAGGGATCTGCAGGGAGGGTGCTTTTTTTCCTTATTTTGGTTAAGCTTGAATTCAATATTCAGTTGTCTCGAAGTGTTTCTAACAGACTTGGGCCCACATTATGAGGGCTGCAAACATAAATTTGAAATAAAACTTGACTTATATCTGAACTTGTAGCAACTACACTTGTCAAATATCTCTGAATTACCAGGTAAGTAGCTGTGAAAGAACCAGTTTGGGAATGCTGCTGCCATGGAGCTTCTGTGACAGCTGTTGAGACTAGTAACAGAGGGCTTGTGAGAGAAAGTGTCTGTAAGCCACTGTGGGGGTGGGGGGGGATGGGGAGGAGATTTCAAAGTGTGTGTGGGGGAGGAGGGGTATTACTTTTTAATTGGGAAGCAGAACTGCTCTATTGTTTACTTTGCCTGAATTATGTAGCAGCGTGCTTGAGTGAATTGCTCTGACAGTGCTTTTGCTAGTCTCCTTAAAATAAGGTACATAATAACATCATGCAGAACCTAGGCTGGCTAGTGCAGTGCTACCACAGGCAATCATGTTACAAATATAATTTTTAAAGTTATGTCTTTCCTTTAAATTTAGCCTTTGGGAAGCTTCCAAGACCTTGATAACCTTGTGGATAAAAGCCTTTCATGCTGCAAATGGTCATGAATTGTAATGTAGAATGCTGTTTACACCTAATGAGGTGGCTCCTCATTAAATAGCTCTTCCTTGCTCTATATATCCACTCTCCTGTATCTGTACCAATCTGTTGTCCTTCCTGTGGAATTGCTAGGGACTGCATAAGTATTTCCCTTGGGGTGTTCTTACCAGTTATGGTAGCAAAAAGTGCTTTGTGTACCCAAAACACATGAACTTCAGCGTTTCTGGCTTTTTCCTCTTTTTCAGTCCTACCGGGACCTGAAAGAAGTGACTCCTGAAGCACTGCAAATGGTTAAGAGAAACTTTGAATGGGTTGCAGAAAGAGTAGAGGTATGGGGTTTTTTATGAACAACATGTCTAGACTTTGATAACTGCATGTCTTCAATCCTGTTGAAAGAAAAGACTGCTTTTCTTTCCCTCACCCCCCTTCACTCTTTTTCCCTAGTTACTTCTGAAAACAAGGAGCCAAGGTAGAGTTGTGGTGTTGATGGGATCTCCTTCTGACCTCAGTCACTGTGAAAAAATAAAAAAGGCATGTGCAACTTTTGGAATTCCTTGTGAGTTAAGAGTGACTTCTGCTCACAAAGGGCCAGATGAAACCCTGAGGATTAAAGCAGAATATGAAGGTAAATGCCAAAGAACTACTGATCTGTATTGAAGCAGTATCGTGTTCAAGAATGAGTTGGCAACTTAAGGATTTGTGTGGGGTTTTTCCATTTTTTGTTAAACAGAACACTGAGCTGTTGCAATGCTGTTCTACACTTGCTAATTATATAATGACAGGTTATAGACTGCACTAAGCAATTAGAGTAACGTATTGTTCTACTGCCCAGCCACAACTTCCATTACTCAAAAGTCTAACCTCTGCTTTTATCGCAGTACCAGAAATACATCACCTGAGCCTTGATCACGTTAATAAACTTAGTGTAGCATCTTGCTGGTGATGCTGGCCCTTCTGAAATGAGGAGTGATAGTTTCTCTAGCTGACTCTGAATATTCTTATGTGGTGTTTACAAGGCAGATGTTGCTCCCATCATGTTTTCCTGCCTATTTCATGAAAATATTCCTGCTCGTTATTTTAAATGCCATGAGAAAAAGATATTTGATTTTAAATTCTCATCTTTACCAAAAAAGCTTCACATCTCTTCAAAAGTGTTTACAGCCTAGCAGAGGAGAGATAAGAACTATTTATTTTTGTGGGAGTAGTATACTTCCTGCTTGGTGAAACTACAGTTGTGGTAACCATAGTTGAGAAACATTTATTTTAAGGCGAACTGTCTAAGATTTAAGGAGAGGAACGCTTAAAGATGCCATAGGTTTAATGGCTATGCTCTCTTCAAAGCTAAGCAGCACCTATTCCTCCAATACTGAGACTTCCCCTCAGAGGCAGAGTAAGACATGCTAACTTCAGTTGCAGTAAACTGTAGCTGGGATTTAAGGCTGCAAGATTTAGAAGATAATTCCGTCAAGGGGGAAGTTAGACGCAAAATTCTAGTGCTGTGTAATGGAACTAAAAATAACTGCAAACAGAACTGTGGACTTTATCCTAAAGTTCCCACAAAAGCAAGTGGTAAAGGACAAAGTGGATTGCTTATTTCTGAATGTTGTCTTCCCCAACCAGGAGATGGAATCCCAACAGTGTTTGTTGCAGTAGCTGGCAGAAGCAATGGTTTAGGGCCAGTAATGTCTGGTAACACTGCTTACCCAGTTGTCAACTGTCCTCCACTGTCAGCTGACTGGGGTACTCAGGATGTGTGGTCCTCCCTTAGACTACCCAGTGGTAAGATGATCTTCAACTTATGCTCTTGTTCTGACCTCTGCTTTTGTTGTTCTAATGTACATACATATACAAACACATACATAGCAAAACACTGGAAAAGTAGCTGGATCAGTACTGAACAGAGTCTTTAGAAATACCTTGCATACAGTCTTTTACTTCTTGATTGCAAAAAGACCAATAGACAAAGATTACATGGAAATAATCGTTAGAAAAATATACACCTTGTCTTACCCTCACTAAACATTCCCATTTGAAATTGGAATTAGTATTAATGGGGATTTAAATGATTCGGCTTCATTCAGTTGAGCTGCATTTTCCTTGTGATCAAAGATAAAAATATCTTTCTCTACAATCAGTGTAGGTAAGAGCTTAACTCTAACAATTACTTCGGTGCATTGCAACCTGTATGATTTTTAGCTGTTAGTGACTCGAATGGATGTTTGGCAATGAGGGAGGCCCGGAAGTCTGTTACCTCTGTATAAGGAGAGGCATTTGGTATGCTAGCTTTGTGTTTAAAATGCCATGAAGCAGTCATGTTTGGAAGTAGTGGAACACACAACACTTCAGGAGCTTTAAAACTAGATCATGTGGTTGTCTTAAATTGTTCTTCAAGAGGCTCTGTTTTGTCTGACTATAAGACATGCTTTGGTAAGTGGCACTCTCTTCTCTGCAGGTCTTGGGTGTCCTACTACTCTGTCACCTGAAGGAGCTGCCCAGTTTGCTGCCCAGATATTTGGATTAAACAACCACTTGGTGTGGGCCAAACTGCGATCAAACATGCTAAACACCTGGATCTCCTTGAAGCAGGCTGACAAAAAACTTCGAGAGTGCACCTTGTAACTTTCAATAGTTACGCAAAGATAATAGTGTGCATATTCGTTCATATTAGGATTTACACTTGGATGAGCTCAAAAGTCCTGCATCCTTTCTTGCAGAAGAAAGCATTGTTAGAGCAGCAGATGAAGTCTGCTGCATCCTCATCCTTCCCTTGTGTATTTTTTTTAATATAACAACTTCATAAAACATGGGGAAGTAGTATTTTAGCTATCTCTTTCTGTTGCTCTAATATGGTGCTGTTCTGCTTTTTAGTGTATACTGTTAACTACAGACTATGTCAAGATAATGATTTGGTGCGATCTAAATAGAATTCAACTAGTCTTCTGTATTTCTGTAACAGTAATGTTCTTCCATAGTAATAATGTATGTCTTGAACCTTACAAATGCAACTGGACTACTGACTAAAGCCAGTGCTGATGCTGTTCCGCTTGCAGTGATGGTATGCTTTCTTTAGCAATAAAATGGCAACATATGCTGTATTAATAGGAAAAGGGGCTGCAAAAATGTTTTAAGAGCCTGAAATAAATACCTGCCTTACTTCAAAAATATATATACATACATGTTTGTTTTTTCTTTAAATGTATGTGTATACATAGCCTATTGATATCTTTTGGAATGACATGATAAAGCTGACATTCTCATGTTCATAACAAGCTATAAATATGAACAGTTGGAGCTGTAACTAGGCTTGTTGCCTGTTTGCTGTAATTCTTGCCTGGTCCAGTCTTTGCCCTTTTAAATACTAGGCAGATCTCTGGCTTTAGTAGTTTTAAAGGGCCTATGTGATGTCAAACTGTCTTCATACACCTGGGTAACTAGCTATTATGTATCTGTATTTCCTAACTGTTTCTATGGAAACTTCACTGAACTGAAGGGGGAAAGAAATAGTAAAGCCACAAACCACTGGGGGTAAATCTAAGCATGACTATCTTGTCTTTGCACACACCAGTCTTCTGAGTAGGTACGATTCTAACAAATATGCAATTACTAAATGTATGTAACATTTATGCTTTTACAATTATAAATAAACTATTGAATTCAAAGCTTTTTAATGGAGACTTACTCAAAAGTACACTCAAAAACTAGGTAATCTTGTAAAAAACTTATGCAATAAAACCTGCATAGAATGGTATTGGGTGACAGTTTTTGGAAGATACTCTGCTACTTGATTAAGTGTCCCACTGTTATAGAAAGCTGTGTTGCTTTCTTCCTAATGTACTGCTCTATGACTGTGGTAGTCAGGCTTACCCCTCAGTGTGAGTAGCTGGATTAAGTGTTGCTGCTGGCTGCCTCATTCACAGGCGGGGACCACATCTTATGTGTACTTGCACAGAAATGCTTGTGGTAGTGCTCTCTTCTGGAGTTAAGTGCAGAGGGTTTTTTTAATTGGTCAAAGCTTACACAAAGGCAAAGTAACTAAACTTTTTTCTTAGTTTTGAGGGTGGCTGCTTTTCTAATGGACTTCCTAAGTAAAGTATCAATAATAGTGAGGGCTAGTGATGACAAAGCAGTTGAAATTCCTTGGCAGCATACCATCTGTGTGGAAGCATGGCCTTAACAGTGAAGACCCTCAAGACTGTTTTTTAACAAGCAACCTATTTACCAAGTTGTACTCATCTGCATTCTTCTGCTAGCACATCTGAAAGTGTACTGTCAGCTAGTTCTAACAAGATACTGGTATTAACTTCAACTAGCAGAAAAATGGGTGAAAAGAGGGGAGTGCATGCTCTTACGTTTACGCAGGTGAGTGAAGTGGATCCTCTTGTCTTGTATTGGGACAAGAAACAGAGCCAACAATTGCATCTAACAAGATACTGGTATTAACTTCAACTAGCAGAAAAATGGGTGAAAAGAGGGGAGTGCATGCTCTTATGTTTACACAGGTGAGTGAAGTGGATCCTCACAATTGCAGAGTGCAGTGCTTCCTCCTGGTGGCAGCAGCCTGCTAGCTCAGCTATAGAACAAAACATAACCTGAGGGTTCCACTAAGAGGTGAAGGTGTTAGTTCCCATCCTTTGCCTCCCTACCCAGCACTACAGTGGGCGTTTGCTCTGAGGGCTAATCAGCCTGACAAGCGTATTAGCCACCTGACTACCCTAGCACCACGGTGAGGTGGACAACAGCAGCCAGCCATTTGTGTCTCTTTCCCCCTGCATTGCTGTGTTGTATTATGTCTCCCTACGGTCTTCCCCCGTGCAATAAAAATTAGTAACAGACAATGGTTTGAGTGTTACACCTGGAATATTCTGTATTGTCCCTAGTTACTTTTCTCAAATCACTTGGACCCTGATTATACTAACTTCATTTGTAAAACTCTGCCAATTTACGCTAGACATGAGTACGCTAAGTGCTGTAGTTGCCATAGAGATGGTCATTCTTCAGCTTTTGGATGGAGTAGGTTGTTGGGGTTTTTTTTGTGTGGTCTGTGCTGAACTCTCAGAAGCGAACCCTTGCAAAGACGTACAAAGACACAGCAGCTAGCATTAGCAGTGTGTTGCTGCGATCAGCAGATGAAACCTGCAAAGTCTATCAATCATATCTGCAAGGCCTTTATATAGTTATCCTGCAGCTGTTTAGTTGTTTTGCTGGAAGTTCTTCACAAAGCTTTTGCTATGCAATGAAAATACTTCCCCTTGGTTCAGCATTCTAACTATGGCATTGATCCAATAACCCGAGAATTTCTTCAGCCAGAAATTGCTCATGTAGCACTTGAGTTTTTTGTCCAATTTTATAAAACTATCCCAACAAATTCTTAAATAAAAAGCACTTTTACCTTCATAAAACCTATTACATAGAGTGGTTACTGAAATTTATTTGCATTTTTTACATTCAGTTGGAAGACCTGTAAAGAAAATCTAATTTTTAAGCACCTGCTGTGGAGCCTAGAACCCTGGATTAGATCATGTCCTAATTAGCAGAGTTACCTGCTTAACAGTGTATGTTCTTTAATCAGCAAGGAGCTGTTTAGACTTAGCAGAGGGAAGTGCTGAGGGCAGGACTCATTTTACATCCTACACTGCTTCAGGTACAGGTGAGTTCAGCCTGGTGTTCAGCCTTTACATTTTATTTATTTAACCCCAAATTAAAAAAAAAAAAAAATTCTGTAAAAATGAGAGGAAAATTGGTCATGGCTCCCACCGATTTGTCCTCCATCCACAGTTCGAAGGTTAAAGCACCCATCCAGGACACTGAAGGTATGGTTTTAACATCCTCTGCCTGTGGAGACTTCTAACAAAATTATCATTAAAAAGTTTACAAAAAAAGTTGTAAATCACAACTGTCCCCTCAGTAGAGTAGGCATTTGAACCTTTTCTCACAGCCCCAGTGATTTCTTTAGCAATGCAACGTAACTGTGAAATAATGTCAGAAATCCTGAGCCCTGTTTTAACGTAGTCAGAGGGTGCCTGTTGCACTGTACTTGGATCATGCTGCAGCAGGCATGTCAGACACATTTTCAGAGCACACCTCCCTGTTCAAAACTGCCAAAAGCGTAAACGTGAGAATGCTCAATTTCTGGGCTTACACAAAAATAAGGTGTAAGGATTGTTTGAACAATCAAGGCTTGTTTCATGGTATGTACAAGAGGAGAACTTTAAAGTTTCATAGAGGGTTGATTTAAAAAACCCCAATGAATCAAACCAAACCACAAACCCTGATATTCCTGCAGAGCTTAAGTATCTCTAGCGTTGGGTTGCAGTCCCAGTTCCCTTTATTCTCAAAAGAGTGCTTTAACCATCCAGCCATACGGAGAGCTGTAGGAAGGGAAGATCTTAATTTCCCCTTTTTCCCCCATCCTTTCAGTTTGTTTCCTTAAATAACTGCAACAGGGGTTGGACCACAGCAACGCTGCAGCTGCCTCTAGAGCTTTGGGCTTTTCCCTCAGGAGTCTTGTAGCAGACCTTACACAGATCCTGTTACCTTTCTTCAGTACGGAAATGATGATGACTATGAAATACCAGTTCAACTGGACTAGGAGCTTTCTGAAGGACTTCCTTCGTGAAGAGTATGCCCTGAGTGTGAAGAAGATCTTAAGATGTGGAGAAGACAGAAGATTTGTTGCTCCCCGTGGAAGGTAAAATTCAAAACTTCTTCAAGAAGGAATTAAGATGCATTTGCATGGAACTTGGTAAAAGAATTAACTATAACAGCTTTTCTCTCTCTTCCCTCCTGATGACAGATGCCATCACCAGTAGGAGGATATCGTGATAGAAAAATAGTACAGCAAACAAGTTGCCAAAAGCTCAATAGATGCTGGAGAATATCAAGCATCAAGTTCAGGTCTTTCCAAGGACAGAGAACAGGTCGTCTTTCCCGGGACTGGGATTTCATCCAGCAGGGGCCAGTTGGCCGAAACTTCTGATAAACAGGTCAGATGCACCAGTGGTAGGTGAGAGGACGGGCTGTGGCAGAGCTAAGCAAGCTCTGATGCCAGAGGGGGAAAAAAATTTTTAAAAAAAGGGGGTAGGGAGAACAAAAGGAAAAAAAGAAAACTCCCAAACAACCACCACCTTATGGCAGCATCCGGGAGAAGCTAGCCCAGTTTGCCAAGCCCCTTATATAGCTCTTTATGTTGATAAAAAGATTCCTAGCTGACAGACCAGAAAACTCTTGAACACAAGGAACCAACACTCACACAAATAGATGATATAATTAAGTAGTTTAAGATGCCAAGCTCCCGAGAATTTCTATTTGGATTGGAAAGTGACTGTATTTGTCTTAATATAGCACAGCTCCCTGTTCTCAGTTTCCCATTATGTCATTTCCCTTTTCTAACACACTTAAACATCTAATAAATGGCCAGCTTCCTAGCTAGTACAGGTTCATATTCAGTCTGCTTTAAAAGTTATTTCAAATATAGGACATTCTTCCATCTTACTTACCAAACAAAACAAAACTCCTCAACTAGAAGTATAAAGACTTATTTACCAACTACTTTCTCTCTAACATTCAAACCCTTTTGCCCTAGAGAGCCTGCCACATCCTCACAGGCACTCCTGACTGCATTTAAGCTACATCACTTGTACTATCACTAGTGCAATTATGTTCTTAAATCCATGGTGAAATCCTGCTATTGGCTTTTGCTTGTATAAGTAGTCATGGTCATGAGCATCCAGGAGTATAACTTCACCAAAAGTCAAGGCTCAAAACTCCACGGACTCTTTATTTTGCTTTGGCAAAGGCTTCAGAATAACTTACATTCTAGCATTAAACATTTTACAGCTTTATTTTTTGTTAATTGTAGGCAAACACACAAATGAAAGGGTAATGAATGGATTTCGGTGTGATACCTGAACATGGATAGGCATGGATACCATAATCCTTAAACAGGTATCTCATGTCTACACACTAACTGGAACAACCTTCTTCCCATTAGAAATCCAGAAAGACCAACATCTCAGACTTGGTCAGGCATAGGCCAGGCAGTTGTGGTTTGTCTACTGCTCCTGAAGACCTGCTCAAAGCAAAGTTTCAGCCATTCTCTGGGAACTGTCCCTGTCTCAACTGATAACGTCAAGTGAGTAGTGCCTTGCACTGTAAGTCTCCCTTGTGCTGTTGTTCAGAAGATCACCTCTACCCTGTCTCACCTGCAATTAGTGTGAATAAGGCTATAGTAAAATTTCAGTATTTAGCAGATACTTAACCCACCCCACACACACCGGGTCAATGCTCAAAGGAATGGGTTAGACAACCTATAAAACCAAAAGGATGAAAATCATAGAATCTTTTAGGTTGAAAAAGACCTTCAAGATCGAGTCCAACTGTTAGCCTAGCACTGCCAACTCCACCACTAAACCATGTCCTTAAGCACCAATGGTGACTCTAACACTTCCCTGGGCAGCCTGTTCCAGTGCTTGGCAGTCCTTTCGATTAAGAGTTTTTTCCCTGATGTCCAATCTAAACCTCCCCTGGTGCAACTTGAGGCCATTTCCTCTTGTCCTATCACTTGTTACTTGGGAGAAGAGGCCAACCCCCACCTCACCACAACCCCCTTTCAGGTAGTTGTAGAGAATGATAAGGTCTCCCCTCAGCCTCCTCTTCTCCAGACTGAACAACCCCAGTTCCCTCAGCTGCTCTTCATAAGACTTGTGCTCCAGACCCCTCACCAGCTTTGTTGCCCTTCTCTGGATGCGCTCCAGCAATTTAATGTCCTTTGGGTAGTGAGGGGCCCAAAACTGAAGACAGTATTCAAGTCGCAGCCTCACCAGCACCAAGTACAGGGGTACAATCACTTCCTTACTCCTGCTGGCCACACTAGTTCTGATACAGGCCAGGATGCTGTTGGCCTTCTTGGCCACCTGGGCACACTGCTGGCTCATGTTCAGCCAGCTGTTAACGAGCACTCCCAGGTCCTTTTCCACTGGGCAGCTCTCCAGCCGCTCCCTCCCAAGCCTGTAGCCTTGCATGGGCTTGTTGTGACCCAAGTGCAGGACCCAGCACTTGGCTGTGTTGAATACAGTTGGCCTTGGCCCATCAATCCAGGCTGTCCAGATCCCTCTGCAGAGCCTTCCTACCCTCAAGCAGATCAATACTTCTGCCCAACTTGGTGTCGTCTGCAAACTTACTGAGGGTGCACTCAATCCCCTCATCCAGATTATTGATAAAAATATTGAACAGAACTGGCTGAGCCCTGAGGGAGCCCTGGGGAACACCGCTTGTGACTGGCTGCCAACTGGATTTAACTCCATTCACTACAACTCGAGCATATTGTCTTTCCAAGTCTTGTAAAGCCTTTAGCAATGTTTGAATCTGACTTTGTCTCTCTCTGTGTTCAGAACAAAGATCTCTCCCTACTAATGTTCTAGCATCACTTCAAGCTTCATAGCCACTCCCGCCAACATATCTTTACAGACATCTTTACATATTGTACTTAAAGAAACTTAGGACCAGTAAAAGGCCCACAGAATACTGGAAGAGGTCCTTGCCAGAAAGATTTGAAAAATGCACATCCGTTCTGGTCAGATAATTCTCAGTGAGTACAGTTAACTAATCCCTCATGTTGAAGTTTCTGACCTTTCTCGTATTAACATACATGCACATCCCATTTATTGTATAGCTATTTCACAAAATCACAGAATGGTAGGGATCGGAAGGGACCTCTGAAGATCATCTGGTCCAACCCCCCTGCCAAGGCAGGATCACCTGGGGCAGGTTGCACAGGAACGCGTCCAGTCGGGTTTTGAAGGTCTCCAGAGAAGGAGACTCCACAACCTCTCTGGGGGGCCTGTTCCAGTGCTCCATCACCCTCACAGTAAAGAGGTGGAACTTCCTGTGCTGCAGTTTATGCCCATCGCCCCTTGTCCTATTACTGGGCACTACTGAAAAGAGATGGGCTCCATCCTCCTGACAGCCACTCTTCAGATATTTATAGACATTGATAAGGTCCCCTCTCAGCCTTCTCTTCTCCAGACTTAACAGCCCCAGGTCTCTCAGCCTTTCCTCATACAAGAGATGTTCCAGTCCCCTAATCCTCCTTGTAGCCCTCCATTGGACTCTCTCCAAAAGTTCCCTGTCTCTCTTGAACTGGGGAGCCCAGAATTGGACACAATACTCCAGATGAGGCCTCACCAGCACAGAGTAGAGGGGGAGGATAACTTCTCTTGACCTGCTGGTCACACTCCTCTTAATGCACCCCAGGATACCACTGGCCCTCTTGGCTACCAGGGCACATTGCTGTCCCATGGATAACTTACTGTCTACCAGGACTCCAAGGTCCTTCTCCATGGAGCTGCTTTCCAGCAGGTCAACCCCTAACCTGTACTGGTACATGGGGTTGTTCCTCCACAGGTGCAGAACTCTACACTTGTCCTTGTTACAAGGACATTTACACAAGACACATCTAGTTTTGTTGTCATACTTATGGAAAGAACATGTCTACATTAATTTGTCAATCATATGATTGAACAGGGAAGGCACAATCCCATCAATAAGGCACCCCACCACTAACTTGGGATAGGTCTCATTGGCTGGTCTAGGGGTGTTGCCCGGTGAAGGAGACATCCTTACGTCGTGACAGAGAACACGAAAGTTTGACAATTTCCCTGACTGTTGCTCATCATCAGGTAAAACTAATCATTAACAATGTTGTACTTTCCTTGCACAGCAAGTGAGCTTTCCTCTTTTCCCTTTTGCTCATACTTAGATTGCTCGCATTCTACTTAGGCTTAATTACATCAATTGTCAACTTATAATAATATAAATAGATCAAACTTGGTCTTAGTCTGTTGCTGTTTTATCATTTGATAGCTAAAGAAACCTTGCTGTGTGACGTGGGAAAGAAAAGAATTTTAAAAAATAATCAAAAGGATAAGGAAGTACTCCCCAAATTCAAAACACTATGTACAAAGCAAGCATGGCATTCCTCTTCAAGATTATTTACAGAAAGGTCTACGCCAACAATCAGGCAAGCTTCTTGTTCTGCCCCATTCTAACTGCATGAAGTAACTAAGTCTGGTCCACAAAACAGCCACCTGAAAAAAATTCCAACTTTAAAATCCTCTCAAAAACCTTTCCTCCCCATTCTCAAATTTGTTTCATTCGCAACAGCACCTACAACGCTCATGTGTGTGGAATAGTTACTGAAGAGTAGTACTTATGATCAGTCTTAACGCAGCATGTGTTAATTATAGTAACTTTGCTTTTTTTGTTGTTGCTCTTTCTTTGTAATAAAGTTTTCTCTTACATAGTTTACAATTCCAGAAGTAGAACTTACATATGCATGGGACAGTGTAAGCCACCTGACACTGTATCTGAATTTTTATTTTACTAAAAAGTCACAGGAACATAAAAACACCTAGAAGCCACATCTTCCCACAGACTAGGGAATACTCAACTTCAAAATTAAAGCTCTTGCCAGGGAAAAAAAAAAAAATTACCACTAGATTTTTGGGGTATTTCAAGCCTGGCTACAGGGGCTTTTCACTGTCAAGAAAAAAAAATCCTGTCACCTGCATTCTTAAGAAGATGATAGCAATACAAAGATTAGGTTTCTAAGGTTATAACATACAGAAGCGGAGAAATTAGAGGATGCCCCTTCTTCTTTCATTACACAAAAAAAGCTTTCCAAATATTAATCCAGGACATTATTAATACAATAAAGGGGAAACTTACCCTAGATAGAAGCCCACATTAAAAATGATCTAGCAGGTTTTGGGTTGCCTGCGTTATCTCAAGCCTTAAGCTCCATAAGAGAACGAGGCTAGAGCATCTGCTTAGCAAGTCTGTGAAATACCTAATTGTTCTGCAATAACAGTTTTTCCCACAACTTTGAAATTTTGTGAAATGCAAACTTTGTACCTGAAATCACCTTAATTTAAATGAAATAGACAGAAAAGCAGGACACTAGCAAAAAACTTGTCTGACCAATATCAGTCTGAGACAGGTATTGTAATCAGAAACAGATTATGTACATACCAATTATGACATGAAGTGCCCACAGCCTTGATGTAGGTTAAACAGCTGCTTCTGGATTTACTTAAGATCCCAGAACAGAAGCATATGGAAAATGAAAGTGATTTTTAGTTTTTGATAAAATTAAAAATATTACAAACTTTTAGCTTTTATTGAAAATTAAATATATTAGCAAAAGCAAGATTTAAGAAATATTTTACAAATGATTTACATACAAGAAAGCCAGTATCAGACATATTCACAAATATGCAAACCTTTAATTACAAAAAGTACCTATTGGCAGCATGATGCTAACCTTGCCACTGCAGTGTGCTGTACTATTGATATGAATAAGGCATAGAACTCACATTTGCACCAACTTAAAAAGTTCAAATAAAACTTTAAGCTTTTAAATCCTGGATGCACAATCCCCAATACACACACGCACGCACACTCTTAAGATTTCTTCTTCTAAGCTCTATAAACTAGGTGTGTGCTCTGGAAGAACAGCCAGCCTGAAAAGCCCAGTAGAAATGTCACTGGTACTAGTATTTAGTTTTCAGTTTCCTCTTTACCATGTACAGGCCTAGATATGTAAACCATATTCACAGTTTAAGTATTTTTAGACAGAAGTACCTTTTTTTTTTTTGCATCTGTTCCTTAAAAGTGGCTCTCAGTTCAGCATATAGTTCATGATGTCACCTGTTTTGTGACGCATACATTTACAAGATAACTTAAAAATCTGTGCCATATTCATGGTCAAGATAATTCAACAAAAGTAGTAACATCCAACAGTGACATTCAATACTATATTTCAAATATTTGTGCAAACAGCAAAAGAACAATTGTATGAGGCAAACATTTGCAAAACCTTTAATACCTCCGCAACGTTGTAAACTTGGACTGTCAGCCTTAAGTCCTGCACTTCCCACAGCTTTAAAAAGTCCGTGGCTAAAATTATATCAAGTCTCAAAAAAGTTCTCTTCTACATAGTGCAAATTGTAATGTAGATAATGTGAAAAACATATCTAGCTGGATTGACTTTGTGCAATCATCAGTGGTCTTCTCTCAGAGCTGAAGAATGTGTGCATTCAAAGAACCACGTGGTTCAGGAAGTCAGGAGGGTGGGGAGGAGAGAGAAAAAGCAGTTCCATTACACTTCTCAAACCAGCGCTAGATGTGCAAAGGCAGAAAAAATTCCAGCTGCTACTACAACCAGAACAGAGTAACTTTTCAGGAAGACCCAGGCGGTTAGTCACTTGGACTGGTCTCTAGAAAAATATGTGAGTATATGCTGGATTTTTATCAGACGGTCTTTTAAAGACATCATGGAGAGAACTGACAGCTGATATCTGGGGTCTACTGGGAGAACAGCTAGAAGCCACCAACACCAAGCAGGACCATTGGGCATCGCCTAAAAAGAAAAGTTAGGTTGGTTACCCATAACCAATGTAGTTGACTAACACGAAGACAACAAAAGACAAAGTCATCAATGACTAGTTTGAAGTTTGAAACTAACTAGAGAATTCCAGATCCATGAGATCAGAAGGGTTCTGAAGGGATCTCTTCTGATCCCTGCCCAACTGAGAAGTCAAATAAATTGCACTTAAACTAAGCTTGATAAAGTCATTATTTTTAAGACAATAAAGGAAGCTCATAGCTTCCTTGGGAAAAGATGGCTAAGAATAGGACAGTCACCTAGTAACAACCCTCCCCGATAAAAACTAAATCCATTACCTATCATGCTATTCTTGAGGCTTGAACATTCTCAAAGCCTAATGCTTTCATTACAATTGTCTCTGTTATATTTGAAGGATTCCTCTATCACCTCCCAATTCCACTCCCTTCTCATTACCCTCCTAGACAGAGCAGGACCACTTATCAGTTTCTTCCAAGTTGATAAAACATACTATGTCACTTTTTCCTATATTTTTTTCAGTTCTATACTCCAAGCCTTAGATGTCATGCCCAGAAGTGGATATAATACTCTTCAGCAGAGGTCCTATCACTGCAGAGAAGATTAATTACCTCAGATGGCTTGCAAAAATGTTAATGGTAGTGGTACATTCCAGGATGACATTTCCTCCCTTGCATCTGCATCACACAGTTGACACGTTTGTGTTCTATTATAAATGTCAGGCACATACCCACAGTATGGCTGCCCTGCTAGTTATCCTGGTTTTGCACACTTATTCGTCTTTCCTAGCATGTTGTTTTAAAAAACTGTTTTTTCTTTATTAAATTGTTCTAAAATCACTTCTGAATTCATGCACTGGCCTCCACAGCATCTACAGTCCTCTCAGACTAGTTCATACAGTCTCATAAAAACATGCAGCAGATGGGTGAGAGACAGGCTCTCATAAGATCCCACTTCATATATAATCCCACTTTAAAAGCCAAAGTTTAAGTATTTTTAAATGTTACTTTTCTCCAGCCTCCACTCTCTCAGGATCTCACCAACCTGAACAGACCTCTCCTATGAGGACAGGCTGAGAGAGTTGAGGTTGTTCAGCCTGGAGAAGAGAAGGCTCCGGGGAGACCTTATTGCAGCCTTCCAGTACTTAAAGGGGGCTTATAAAAAAGATGGGGACAGACTTTTTAGCAGGGCCTGTAGCGACAGGACAAGAGGTAATGGTTTTAAACTAAAAGAAAGTAGATTTAGACTAGATATAAGGAAGAAATTTTTCCCAATGAGGGTGGTGATACACTGGAACAGGTTGCCCAGAGAGATGGTAAATGCCCCATCCCCGGAAACATTCAAGGTCAGGTTGGACGGGGCTCCGAGCAACCTGATCTAGTTGAAAATGTCCCTGCTCATTGTAGGGGGGTTGGACTAGATGAGCTTAAAAAGGTCTCTTCCAATGCAAACTATTCTATGATTAAAATAGATTGCTGCAGCTTGTCTCTTAAGAAACATTTGTCAAATCCTAGCAGCTGCAGCAGTTTATGGCACTAGCACAGAAAGGGGGAAAGCATTATTTGTGATTACCTCGTTACCAAAGATTACTACCTGCACATGTCACAGGGAAGAAAAACATACTTCTCCCCAATTTTAATTCTAACAGCTTTACACAAACCAAAAGTGGAACTTAACACGTTCTCAGTTTACTAGTTTTATCTCCACAGCAGCATATCATCTTTTCCTGCAAAAACTGTTGAACGGTGACAGAATTGCCTTTTGTTGCTCATCATAAGAGAAATAAGATGTAAACCTTATGCCTTCAAAGTTGGGAAAAAAAATTCTTTTTTCCATTTAATATTTAGCAGTTGTTAACAGGGTTTTTATTTTCAGCAATAAGCACCTAGTAACTGATATTAAATGATGTCTCACCTGTATATTTTCCTCCCTGTCAGGCATTGGTCCAAAGTGCTGAAGAATTTGAATGCGAAATTTGTTTCTTAAGTTTTGGAACCAACTGCAGGCCTGACTGTAAACAAAATTGTGAAGTTCTCTCAGTTTCTTTAGTTCTTCTTCATCAGCAACCTATAGGAGGAACGTTATGAAAATATCGTTTGACATAAAGAAACAATTAATGTGTTTAAGCTAAAAATCAAAACAAACATTCAATTTCAACTATATTTAGATACATTTCTTGCATTCACCTACACCTTGATTGCTAATGACTGAGTAGTAAAGAAGTACAGTGATATTTTAAAAAGTTACAACTTCAAACTATTGTTCAAACAAAACCCGCAGTATTTCTTTGTTGCTTTGTAAGAATAAAAAAATTAAGCTAGCTTCCATTTCTTCCACATGTTACCACTGAATTTTCCAGTGGTCTAGGGACCTAAAAATTTGAAACAGAGCTCTCAAAAACAAATCATGCAAAAATCTTGAGGTATTAATACTACTAAGTATTTATATAGCATTCTGGGTACCATGACATCTTCCAAATATTCGATGTCTGCAGTGCAGTAACCATCTTTCATCCCTCTCCGTAAAACTCGAAATCTCTTTCCACCAACTGTATCAACAACAGACCGTCCATCAGGTAGAAAGTGAACATTCCTAATTTGCAGCATGCATCCAAAATCTGCAAAACTAGAAAAGAGACTGTGTCAGTAATGCAATTACACACTTCTGAAGGACACTTTTTATAATTAGAAAAAAAAAAAAAAAGACATAAGAGATGAGAAGCTTGGAATTAGGGTATAAACCTACCCATTTTGAGAATCACTTATACACATCCCAAACTGTTTAGTCCCAGTTTCAATACTTCTGCGAATCATTAGTCGGTATCTTGGCTCAAAGACATGTAGAGGGCAAGGCACAGTAGGATATGCCATAGTGCAAACAAACATCGGAACATTCTTGGTCAAGCTTCAAGAGAACATCAAAAGAAGTATGTGGCTTAAAAATCTAATCACCAAACTATGCCAAGACAATACATTTTTTTTTTCCAGTATGTTTGCTATATTTGAGGTCATAAAGCACTCTTTTCAAAGTTTGTAATAACTTTCATAAACAATAAAAACACATACTAGTAACAGTGACTGAATACCTATGTACCTATTTGAAAACATACTGGACAGTAAACCTCACTCAGTTATCGGTTAGCAAGTATTTAGTCGGTGAATGAAGGGCTTTGTTTTGGGGACAGATATATTAGTCACTTTTTTCCTTTTTGTTTTAGTTACAGCCATAAAAGCCATTGTGCCCTCAGAGTCACAGTCTTCCTGGAACTACAAAGATGTAGCAGTAACTACATAGTAGCTAGGTCACCATTTAGATAATTTTCAATGATGGACTCCAGATCACAAGATGCAACCCAAGGTATAATCTGTACCTTGCAATATGCCTCAGCAGGCCTAACTGAAAAACAACGTATTTTTTCATGCTGTTTTATGAAGTATGCACAGTTGACAGTGGATACAAATGAGTTAGCATTAAAACATTAACAAGTATTTAAATTTAATACCTTTCAGACTATAAAACATAATTCTACTGTACGGACTCTGTTACCTTAATTGAATGAGATATAGTTTTCCAACATTCATATCTACAATACATGATGCTTTATAAATCTGAAGAATTCTACTACAGATAAACATCAAGATTACAAAAAAATCCCAATGTTTTCTTTTCATCACATCTATCTTTATATAATTAATGTCCATCATTAACTGCTTTGAGAGAAATTCAAGTATCCGAGACTCTGCAGCCAACTCAAGAGGACAATTCCATTAACAGCAGCAAAGCTAAAATTGAAGCTCCACGACAGTGCACGCAGAAAGAGAAACAGAAGGGCAAATGTATTTTGTACAGGACTTAAGAGCTTCACGTTGCTATTATCAAAGTGTGATTGATTTCCACAATAGTTAAAAACTGTTAATTTTCTGAAATACACATTTAAGACATCAAATCAACATGTCTCTATATTCCTTCTTGCATCCATATTATGCCATTATTAATAACAAAAATGACAAAACATTTCTAAAAAGGATTTCCATACTAATCTATCAAGTTTTCTACATAAAAGACAGCAAGCTTACTTTGAGTGTTCAGCCGTTTCTTCAGCATGAATTCTTTTTCTCTCATATAATTCATCAGACAAATATTTCATTATTAATTCCTCCAACAGCTCTGTGATGCTGTATTTTCTGCTTGCAAGGTACTGTAAGCAATTTAAAAAAAAAATATTTCTTTTCATATATATTAGCAAAAGACTTGAGAAAATGCAGCTTTTATTTAAGACCATTAGATGTGAAATGTGTCATAAATTAATTTAAACCATGAAACCTTACAGCTCTGAAGTTCTTATGTTTCATTACTTAACACCTAAAGTTACTCTACTATTTGAAAATGAGATTATGTATTTTAGTTCTTAGTGTCTGACAACTCTAGTGTCTAACTCAGTTTGTACTTCTACGCTTACCAGAGGCAGAGTTGGATTTCCCAGGTCATAGAGCCATACAAATGAGGAAAGCGTACAGAAATCAGAGAGCTTTTACTGAATAGTTACCAAAGTTTACAAACACTCGGGATTTAATTACACCAATAAAGTAGATAGTGACAGAAACAGAAAACCTCTAAGACCCTGAGGCAAATCTATTCAACTTGTGTTGACTTTGAAATTTGTCTCAAGTGTTTTCTTTCTAGCATCAATCCAAAACCCAAGTGAATCCAAATTGTTGGGTTTAAGTGAAACATCCTTTAAAACAATACAATATTTGTATTTGTGAGCTCTCCCGAGAAACAGTACCTCTTTCAAACTCTCCTTACAGAGTGGACACTGAGGAGCATGGTCTAAACACCGTTCCAAGCAACCTTTGCAAAAAGTATGTCCACAAGGAGTTGTCACTGGCTCAAAGAATAGCCTGAAACAGAATTATTATAAGTTAGATACCATGGCAAGTGCGTGTTTTGCTAAAAAAGTCAGTGATTGACCTCTTTAATTTCTAAGACTAGTTATACCATAAATCAGAAAAAACTAATCCCATGTCTCCTTATTCTGCTTCTTCCCCTATACTGCAGTTTGTTTCCATTTACCACTGCACCACTCATTTTTTGTGTTTTCTGGTAAATCTGGACACATTTCAACACTCTAAACATCTAACCATTTATACCAATGTAAAAAGATTTCGGTCTCACTATATAGATATTCAGAATACGCAAAACTAAGTGATTATTTGAGGAGCTAAATTGTTTTAATAGCGGTATTACACACTAGTAACGTAACTATGGACAGTTTAGTATACACCATGTGTTTTAAGGAATCTATTCTGAAAACAAAGACTATTCAGTAAGAGCTTCCAAATACATCAGCTACATTTAAGTAGACTAACATTCTTAAGTATCTACATCCCCTAGTCACAGGCAATACTCCTAAGCATTAGCCTTCCCAAGAGAAGTTAAATAATTTTGTTGACTGAAAAAAACCCTAACATTTAGCCACAAAAGATCCTGTCCTTTTTAGGTTACCAGTTAACAATGCTAGGTTTAATTTAAAAGGCAGTTTGGTTAAAATAATGCTGTATTATATATCACTGTAGCAAGTGACCCATTTAAATAAATATTTAACTGCAGGGGTAGAGGAAGGCTGAAAATTATTGACTGATAGCAGAACTCATCACAATCTGTAAGTACCTCAGTTTATATGTGTAAGAGATATGTGGCCAAGCATCTATAATAGAAATATTGAATCAAGGAGGAAATTTTACCTCATACACAGAGAGCACTCAAAATCTGATACATCAATCAAATCCCTTGGAATTGTTCCAAAAGCCAGTGTCATGTCCCTTTTTGTACTTTCTAAGGAAAAGCAAGACAAAATACTCCTTCAAAGAAAGGCACAAGACAATAAGCACTATATATTTCAACGTAAGTGACTGTTTACCTCCTTGCTTTTTGTGTTTGTTTCTTCCATCTTCACATACAACTGTATCCTGTTCGGAAAAGGAAAGCTTTCTTTTCAACAAAGCACCTTTTTCTTGGCCAGAGAGAAGGGGTTCAGAAGACACTCGCTTTAAGCCATCTTCCTTGGCAAGGTCTTTTGTTGAATTAAGAGCATGGGCAGACTGTGCACGACTTAAGCTTCCACTGACAGGCTCTGGTATCTCTGATCCTCCTAAACTCTGTAATAGTAAGATGAGCTGAACTGTACTTAAAGAGTAACACAATTCTAAGTATTTGAAATGTGAACATGCAAAAATATATATATGCCAAACTGATATCCATAGTTAGTTCATTAGTTAACTAGAGGAACTGGATAAGTCAAGACAGTATTCAAATTTGCTTAGCATTAACAATTTAAAAACCTTCATCTACTTAAAAGAGAAGAAAAACTGTATTTCTCTTTATTGTGAAGTCACTAATATAAAATCTCAGTATCTTCTAAGTACATCACTGGAATGAGGAGTCCAACACTCCAAATGAAAATACATTACTCCCAAATCACAGTTCTTTTCTTCCAATTTAGCCAATTGCAGAAAATCAGCATTTAGGATGGAAAGTAAGTATGACAAGATGCTGGAACATCTGATATTTGCTTTATCAGTTAAAGAGAAACGTTATCCTATAGTTTTTGTTACCTGCTCAGGACAAAGCTGTAAGTTGCAGTAAGACTCAGTCACCTCGGAACCAAATATAAAAGGTTTATTTCGAATATGTGGTGGATTCCAAACAGATTCCTTCAGACTCTCTCCTAACTTTTCTGGTGACAGCATATCACACAATGTCTAGAAAACAAACAGCTAGATGTTCATAACAATAATAAAGCTAAGTCTAGATCCTTTTTCATAAAAGTACATACCAAAAATAAGAATTTAATCTATATGAAGTTATCCTCATAAATAGATCCTTATTTAATCAGTAACTGAGAAATAGCTGAGAAAAAGCAGAAACCTACATACCTGTATTACTAAAAAGAAATTTATCTAGAAATCTTTTCTACTACAAGTGAGTAAGCTCTTCGAGCAGCTACACATTATCAATTCATTATCATGCAACTTCTTCAATGTAAATTTTTATTATAATAGAAAAATTGTTGTGTTCTGGGCACAAAACGGTTCAACTTAGAGTATTTAACTTGATGCCTGCTTTCCAGTTTTCTAGATTTTCAAACTTCAATAGCATATGTACTTTGAAATGTGTACTTAAAACTTGCACATTGGGACTATCTCTTCAACATAGTATGATATATCTTGAAAGGATCTAATCTGCCACTCGAACCTTCTCTGTATGTATTGAAGATTTTTAGATGCTCAAAGCCTGCCATAATGGGAGCTTTCTAAAGGAACGAAGTCTGAGATAGTAATCCAGTTTCATAAATAAAATTACCCTTTCTACTTCTAGCTTGGCTGGAAGAAAGTCCTCATCAAGGGCTAAGCACTGTAGAAACAGTTGTAAGGCATCACCTGCAAAGCCAGAGTCTTGCAGCACTTTTCCTTTCCAGAAGTAGACCTGAAAAACATATAGCATGAAGACATTTCTAGAGAGTATGTAGAACTGCAGTTTTCATCTTACAGGCATTATAGAGTTAGAATTAAAACCTTCCATGACAAAAAGAACGTAGCTCTTCAACAAACTTGTGTTTCCAACAGCTGTGCAGTGTGGCATCTATATGCCTTGTCTAAGATACATCCCCTACAGTGTTTGAAAAGAGTCATGGCACAGGCTGGGGTTAGTCTCCTTCCAGTAAATTTGTTTTGACTTACATGAAGGGTTAACCTGACTATTGCTGAATTCACAATTCACAAAAGGCCTTAATTTCCCCTTTCTGTGAGCCTTTAGAGGGGATGAAGGGGGACATGCAATGCATATTATTACATATACAACAGCCTACAGGATACCCTTTTTGCCCTATGTTTCATTAAAAGCCTTATGATTCCAGCCCACAGGAGAAGGATAACTACAAAGAAAACAATCCACACAACCATGCATCCCTTACATACATCTTAATCTACAATCTTAACACAAAACAATGCACTTTTGTGATTGCTTCCTCCAACTATATTTTATTCTTGAACACTAGACAGCAACTAGGGGCAAAAAAAAAAAAAATAAATCTGTTTACTACTAAAAAAGGGGAGAAAAATCTACTGAATTTTTCTGAACCTACCTGTAACTGTATGACATTGGAACTTAGAAGTCCCTTATCCACCTTATCTCAATTTTTAAAAGTTGCATTTGCAGTAATATAAATACAAGTTAGATAAAAACAATAGTTATCTAATAAAAGTTAGATAAAACAACATCATCTAGTTGTATATGAGATTTTGGATAACAGGACAGAAAACTGAATTTAAAAAAGCAAACAAAAAAACAAACAAAAAAATCCCAGAGTGCAGTTTGTATGGAACGACTGCTAGTATTAACAGTTGAGTCTGTTAAACAAGGCTGTCAGATGAGGGCATGCATCATCTTTGATGGATTTGGGCAATATCATTAAGATGTATCCTGAAAAAGGAAAGTATGCTAATCTTTCTCTTACAGACAGTTTGTTTTTCCAACAGAGATAAGAATTGTTAGAAGAATCTAGCAAACCAAGCTTAGTTAAGTGAAGTGAGGTTTCTTTCTGAACAAACAAAAAAACAGTAGACAGTACTACCAATGCTGGCAGGCAAAAAATAGGATGCTCTCTGAGTTTGCAGTAGCCATGGAACTGCTGAACACAGGAGAGACCAAGGCAACAGCAGTTATCTCCCCTTGTGTGGCAAGATCTTGCTGCTCCTGCTGTGCTCAGCATTTAGACAGTGCTTCAATATGCAGCATCTTACAGTTCTGAAGGCCAGTGATGCCCCAGCTGCCTGCACTATTTGCAAAGCTCAGTTCCCACTGAGTTTCTTCAGGCTTTTTCAAGAAAAGCTTTCCAAGCTAAGACAGCAAAGTGTCCTTCTCTTAATAAAAAATAAGAAATAAACAAAACAAACCTGAAACCCCAGCTGTTACAGGTTACATCACCACAAACTATCCAAACTCCAAGTACTGGAGCCACTGAAAAAGGGCCCCAAACACATGCTTACGCTTTTTAGCCAATACTATTGCAAAAGAATTTATTGCTTGTGCTAAATATTTTTTGACTCTTTGGTAGCATTTGGAAAAGAAAACTGTGTTGTCCTGTTTATATAACAAACTGTTTTACCAATAATACTCAAAAACTATGAGAGAAATGTTGACTTAACATACAGCCAAGAATCCTAGTCCTGACTGGCAAGAGCGCTCACTCATCTCATGTGATATTCTCAAGTAACAGATAATGCTTAAAATGCTCTGACTTTGGGAAATACAATCGAAGTATAAACACTCCATGGAAGTTCTGCTTTCAAGAAATGAAAGCTGGCTGCACAATTTCAGCCAACCACCCACTCAAATAACATTAAGCTGAAGTTAAGTTTGTAAATACTTAGTAACTTTTCTTAAGAGAACACATAAAAGTGTTCTGATAAAGAAATAAAACAAGTAACTACAGACAGCACAAAAGCACTTCATAATACTTCCCGAGAAGTCAGTTCTACTGCACTTAACCCTTCATCCAAAGACACCATTCTTATGTCATGACAGGAAATAAAAATACCCAAAGTTTTTGATGAAGGCTAAATTAACAGTTCCAACCAGATTCATGAGTCAACTTCAACCTGCTGCACTCATTAGTAGCCTGTCTCATGTAAGTAACTATTTTAAGATACCTTTTAGCATTTTGCGTGTCTTACAAGATAACATTTAAGGTAGCTGACCTTGTTTCTTAACTTGATGCAAGTGTAATTTAGCATTCATGAATTTTATAGACAAACACAGATTCTGAAAAACAAAGAGTTCATATCAACTTACCTCTGGCCAATTTGGCATTTTAGAAATAACAAAATTTAGATCTTCTATGGCTGTTTTATATTCTTGGAGGCCAACATATGACTCAGCTCTGTAAATTCTTAGCATCAAGTCACTGGAATCTGAAGACAAAAATTAAGTAACATTTTTAATAATTCAGAAATTTATAATTTTTAGATATGCTTTCATAGTGATATGTCATAACCACAGCTTTTTGTGCCATACTATTAACATTACTGGAGTACATTCTCCCCCACCCCCCTGTGTTTGGGTAATAAAAGCAGCAGTAATTCCAGGCTCATGTCTTTCAAGCTAAAGATCAAATTTTGTACCCTCTAATGTATCTTGCAGCAGCAAAAAAAAAAAACTTAAAAGATCTAACACTGAGGCTGACAGAATAAAGTATTGCTCAGTACTGCTGTGACAACAAAAGATGAGGATTAAGTAGACTTTAGCTTTACAGTACACCCATTCAAAACCACAGAAATATGGTAATTAACTGTACTTGTATTAAAAAGTCTAGGTATTACAAAGTTTGCTTTCAAACATTCAAGTTTTTTAGACTGTCATTTGTTTTTATCATGCCCAACCCCTTCCAACTATGGCTGGAGACACAGATGCCACTTTCACAACGGTATCCATCTGTTAAGTACCAGAAGTAGGCTTTATCACTATGTGGTCTGAAAAGACATAGCCAGTACCAGAAAGCCTTTAACACCAGCTGGCAACGCTATTATAAGGTGTTGTACTAGTGGGACTCCTGCAATGGGAAAACATTAGCATATCTTCAGTAAAGACAAGTTCTCATGTCCAACATACAGCATTTTGCACTTTCAGTAAACCTCTAAATGGGAAGCACACCCATCCCCATGCTACTAAAACTATGATTTTCATAACACAACTAACTGTAGTTCTTGCTTGGAAAAAATGCCAGCACACGTGCTTTTTTCTTGATTTTTTTTTTTTTTTTAAAGACACCTGTGTTTTTCTTTGAACAAGATAAGCGAGTCAAGCATTGGTGTACTGTAAACAATACTAAAATTAAAGGTCTTTAAGTGTTTCAACAAGATTTTCTTGGGAGGGGATCAGTTCAATTTGATATGCTATCTTAATCTATTTTAAATGTCTGGTTTAAATTTTCATAATTTCCAACATTAGCTCGTCTTACATTTAAAAGTCAGATTGGTCAATGCTCACGTATTCTGTCATACTGCTTTCTATTTAGACCCACAATGCTACATGTAAAAAGACCTTAATGGAAAAGAAAGGGTTAAGAAAATCAAAACTGACAGATTTCACAGCTGAAACTAAAGTTTTGGAGTCAGACAACTAAAGTGTTGTCTTTGGAGTTGACAGTTTCCCTTCAAACACAAATATTCCCAAAGCTGGTTTGTTTGGTTTTTATTTTATCTTAGACATAATAAAATGTTTGTATTAACAGAAGTCTGGGAAATTGTCTAAATTAAACAGGTAATTCTGCAGGCAGAAGAACTGTGAAGCCTGCTTTCCTGTGCCTTTGTGTTTTGTGACTGCTATAGCCTAGTAAGGTGGGAGCTCAGATCAAACTCTTCAGACTGTTTTTTCTATTGTATTTGACTTTTTGGTGTCCAGCAGTTAGTATCAAACCAAATTCTTTCCTTCAGAGGTAGCAGTAAGTGCAGGTCTCTGTTCTCTGATAAGCTACCTATTTGCACATAATCATCTTTTTCAGACTTTAAAGTGTAGAAGATGACCTGAGGAACTCCCAAGCCTTCCTCTTTCTGGGAGGAGGGTGAGGGATAGTTTGAAGATAAAAATGTGAGTTCAAGTCTACAGCAGGTGGACACTCTGTCTATTTTGTTTTCAAAAAGAAAAGCATGGTTCCAGTTGCACTGGTACAAAACAGAGGGCTAGACATAGGAACTGGGACCTCAAATCTTCTGCTGAACACAAACACTGCCAATGAATAACCAATACATAAAACAAATCGGGTGTAAACATTTGCAGACCAAAAGATCTAAATTTATATGTCAAATTTGGCAACGAGAATTTAATTTCTAGGCTTTGTAATTGCAAAAACATCATTTTGCAATGTTTCAGCATGTATTTTAACATTTGCCACCTAAAGGGAAGATGCAAAATTATTTCACATGCTTAGACCAAAGACTAAACAGAGCAGAACCACAACTTGTGCTTGAATTTTCAATTTCAGTAATCCAATATATTGTTAATACAGAAATCACTCACTTCTAGCATACCCAAAGACAAATGATTTTAATAAAAAAGACACCAAGTACTTTCAGTGAAGAACTGTGCATACTAATTATTATTACAGTAATAGGAAAGTGTACAAAGGTGTACACACAAACCCCCACTCATGAGTTCTTTTTTAATACTACTTCCAAAGCATCTGCTCCTGGCTACCGTCAGCCTCAACATACCAATAAATGGACCATCTCCGGTATGATTCTACATGCTTTTTATACGGTTCTTAAAAATATACCAAATTCTTCAAAATAACAGACACACACATCACAACCACTATGCAGAAAAACTTTAGGACACAGTATTTACTAATACAGTACCATAAGGTCACCCCAATTATCAGGGGTTGGAGCACACAACCCATGAGAAGAGAAAACTGGGCTTGTTTAGTGGAAATCAGTTCCTGATATTCTTCTCCCAGGCCTTGGGAGAAGACAACAACCTTTCACAATCCAGGAGGAGACTACCTAGAAGACTCTCTACTGAAATGCAAGGGGGGAAAACCACAATGTGATGGTTAAAAACTGAAACAAGGACAGTTCTGACTTGAAATAAGGAGAAAAAATTTCCCTATGAGGATAATTAGCCTTTGAGCAGGTTGCCCAGAAAGGTTGTGGAATCTTCATCCTTGTAGGTTTTCATGATCCAGGTGGACAAAACTTTAAGCAAACTGCTCTGAACTCAGTGTTTATTCTGCTTTGAACAGGAGACTGATTGGTCAACAGACCTGCCAAGGCCCACTCCAGCAGTGATGAGCCTGTGATTCGGACCAAATTCAAGCTTATTAGCTGTGTGTTTCAGGACAGTTGATTAGAGACAAGTTGCACTTGGATTTTAATCCAACAGACTTCCTCTAAGTAAGCTATTTCATTTCAACCCCTGCAAGGAATATATTAACCATATGCATGTTAACATTCTTCATGTTTTTCAAAAGTCACTTTTGCACCATGGCAAATATTTATCTTTCAGATGTTTCAGGAAATGTAAGAAAGTGATGAAAAGATGCCAGCTGAGTAAGGTTTAGTGCCAATGCCTTATACAGGACATCAGATTTACGTTTATCACAGTTTTTTAGCTATCTGCACTGAAAAGAAACAAAGATGAACTAGCAGTGAGGAAACACTGAAACAGAACATGAATGATTTTGAACATTAATACATTCTTCTGCTACATCTTTTCCACTTCTAAGTGTTTTCAAGAATTCATGTTCTAGAGGAAGCTAGAAAGTGCACCAGCAGCTATTCATTAGTTCTCTATAGGCCTGAAATCAAAAATTCAATTTGTAGTTGTGAGCCCACAGGTCTAACCTGACCTTTAACGTACATCTGCATTCCGATTCATCAAGTTCTTTAGTATCCTTACCAGAATATTTGGAATATTGATAGTTCTCAGGACTGAAGACATAGGAAACAGTTGTACAAGGGATCTTAAACTGAGCTTCTAGCACTTAATTCTACCACATGTACTGAATTTGAATAATAAAATTGCGGATAAGCATCACAGCTGATAACTACGCTCAAATTCTGAAGCCATTTTAAAGGCAAAATTTAAGATGTAGCTTCACAAAAAAAAAGGAATCAAAATTTGTTCCCCACAGATACCTAAATGGTAACTAGAGCCTGTAGAATTAATTTGCTCTTTTATTCTTTCAGAACAGGACCCCTGTGAACATTTGTGATCAATAATGGATTCATCAGTTTGTATCCTGAAGGCCACTGAGTTGACTCCATTTCTTTGTGACTTGTATGTGTCAATGCTGTTGTTCAAAACACACAAAGAAGAAAAGTCTGCCGCCTCTTACAGTTCCAAGATTTAAAATAGATCAGACACTTTCTCAGGTCACATCTATCCCACATCCTAAATTTTGGAAACACGCTGGCAAATAATGCAGAATTGAAGGCCACATCAGAACCTCTTTAAATTATGTTGCCAAAAGGCATATAAAATTATCTGAGATTTAATCCCACCTACATAGAAAACAGTTTATTCTGGAACTAGATCTAACATATCTCCCCAGAACAGATTGGAAGGATTAGACTTATGCAAGCTTTCGGTTTTTCCTCTGATGCAGACAACTGCACAAACATAATACACTTAATCTGTAAAAATATTAATTCTGAAATTTCTGAACAGAAATAGAGTGGCACAAATGAAAATGGAACCCCACAGGTCAGCAGGTGTTAAAATCCATAGTTGAAAAAAAGCAACAAAGGAATCTGTCACCGTATCCATCTAGGTATATCGATCACACAAATTGGACTCCCTCTATGAAGACTAAACTCTGAAAGCGTGACCGTATCTCAAGTGTTCGTGGTAGCAGATATACTGCTTGCGATCAATACAGGACAGTCCAAAAGTGTGCCTCTACCTCCCGTCTTTGCACCCTCTCTCAACAGTATATTATAAAACTTCAACCACACCCACCTATGATGTCACTGCCATTACACAACCTGTCCCCCTCCGTGCCTGTCTGCTTATGCAACTGGGCCCGGCCTGCTGGGAATTGTCTTGGTGACACTTAAGACTGTGAAAATAGGTCTCTCTCAGGAAACAAGGTTAAATACAGCAAGAGAATTCCTCTTGTCCATGCACAGCGGACAGCAAGAGAATTCCTCTTGTCCATGCACAGCGATTACTAAATACAAAACAAAACAAAGCCCACAAACTCTCCTGTAAACAAGTCCCACGAAAACATGTGGGGGTGGGAAAAAAAAGACATGAAGAAGCCCGGGCTGCACGCTTCTCCGCGCCTCTGAAGTGTACCCCGCTACCAGGCGTGACGCTCAACTGAGATGCGAACAGCCTACGCGTCCCGTAATCGGTCCCCTCCGCTCCACCAGGCTATGGGGAGGTTCCTTGAACCCTCTCAGCAAACTCGGGAAAAC